TCTGCAGATCCACAGAGGACAAAAAGCACGTCTGGGGGTAGAGCTGCCCAACTGCCTTCATGGCACAACTCGTTCTTGGGGAAAAAAGACAGGCAAAAAGCAATGCAGAAGAAACAGCTCAGTGGAGGCCATATCAGGACAGGAGTGGGAGAGAGTCTGTGCCCTAATGAGCAGTCTCGCTGCGTGGGAGGGAGCGGGATGCTGTCTGTCCTGGGGAACACACTGCGTGCAGCTGCAGGCAGCAATGGGATGAGAGCTGAGCCCTGCATCCGTTCTTCCCTGATCCCGCAACCCAAACTCCTATGAGTAATCTAACGCACCGCGAGTAGCGGCACTGACTCACGGCCTGACTGCTGGGTGCGAGATGGGGAGGGGAAGGGGGGTGAGGAGGGCTCTGTTCTGGCATTTGGTTGCACTGCGTAAGGCTGACTGGGAAGAAATGCCACGGTCCTGCAAGTGCTGCTCGAAGGAGCTGCCAGCATCCAAATGGGAACTGCGCATCCAAGCAGGAACCATGCTGGAGTCCAGAGCTCTGATTTTAGGAAGACTCTCACAGTTCCCTGCATCCTTCCTGTTCACCACCCCTGGCACTCAGCAGCCAGCTCCCAGCAGACAGTGCTGAGCTGTGGCATCAGCCTGGTGCTACTGCTGCGCTCCTGACTGGAAAGGCAGCTGCTCTTCCCCAGGAGGTATGACACCAGGACAGCACTGCTGCCTGCAGAACCACAGAGCAGAACAAAGCTCTGCCCCTGCCTAAGTCCTGAGGATGGATGCTGGCCTGAGCCTGAGGCTGTTCCCCTGCTGGCCCTGCCTGGTGCTTTGCTGCTGCAGAGGACTTCTGTGACTGTCCCTTCTGCACTGTGCTGGGCACAGGGCAGAGTGAGGCCCAGACCCTGCTGATGGCACCCTGACACCAAGATAAGAAATCACCTTTGCCCTGTAGACACGGGGGGGCTCATGCTCAAGTTTCATGGAAAATGCTCTGTCTGGTGCCACAGACCTTCCAGGAAGCAGAACACAGTGACAGTGAAGTGGTAGAAGTGCCTCTGCACCGGGCAGCGCTGCTGCCTCCTGCATGGTATCACTACGTGATTAAGTGCTTACCAGACTTCTTGGTAAAGGCAACCTTCCTGATCTGATAACTGCCAAGGACAAGCCAAATACGCAGGGTCAATCCATGCACACTTAATCCCCAGAAGGCAGATTAAGTGTATAATTGACCCATATAATCCACGTATCATCTCCAGTGAAATGTTTTCCATGTCCGGTTTAGGCAGACGTGGGCCCATAAGAAAGCTATCAGAGGCACAGAATTACCATGGCAGTGGATTTCATCAAAGTCGGAGATGGCTTTTTAATCACTGATCTCAGGGACTGCTAGATTTAAGCAGATGAAGCGGCGCTAAGCATATCTGCCTTAATCCTTATCTTCTACTCAGGCTGGTGTCTTCAAGAAGTACAAGGAGGAAAAAAATAAATTAATTTTTTTTTTTTAGGTCCTTGCAATCTTAGGAGCTTCTCTTGGTGTTTTGATCTCTCATATCAAAAGCATGTTTTTGTTGGTGTTTTTTTTTTTTTTTTTTTTTTTGTAAGATATTGCATTAATCATCAGAGAGAAAAATGCCATCTGCGCTATTTAGAGACTGCGGCGGGATGCTGGAAGTGGAGGATGGCGGGCGGCTCGCCGGCGCTTGGAGCCTTTTGTCTACATGATGCTCACCCGCGGCCGGGCAGGGAGTGCTCCTGTTCTGTGTCACAGCTGTGTGTACCAACTGATGAGGTTGGCACCCACACTGCCTACTTTTCAGTCCTTCACCCTCTGCAGCACATATATGCTGGCGGGTTGAAATCTGTGTTGTGCGTACCGGAGGGCGCACACACGTGCGTATGTATAAGCAACTTCCACTACAGCACAGCCCTTGCAAGCACGACTCCTGCTGCCTTCAGAGAAAACCGTGGGTGCACAAACTCTGATCCTACCGAACGCGAGAGCCCAAAGCCAAAGGGGAGCTGAATTCTGTGATTGGTCAAAGACTCCAAATCACCCTTAAACACTCCCATTCTGCAGCTCAGTCCCCATCTTCTGGGAAAAAGGATGCAGTTTTGGACTCTCCGTCAGCACCAAACTGAGACTGAGATCTCTGTGCTGCCGCGAAGCATCGCAGCGGCTCAGTCCTAAAGCACACAGAACCTCAGGGAAGGGCTGCATGCCACAGTTCTATTCTTAAACTCCTCTGCTACCAGTGCTCTGTACCAACGGGGCCTTATTACAGTGTTTTAGCTTTAAATGTTATCAAATTAGTGAGCCAGGCCAAGTAAATAAGTCATGTTACTCTGCAGTAAACAGCACTGCCAAAAAGCTAGTTAGGTTTTGATTACCAGCAGAACTCCACGATCAATCTGTTCGTTCAATGATCCCAAGAATACAGATTTTTAAAATTAAGACGATGACTCTATTTTGGGGAAAAAAAAAACAACCACCACCCAACCCTGACTAATTTGCAGAATGAAGAGGATTAATGCACAGACCACACAGAAATATTGCAATAATCTCCCACAAACAGCAATATCCCCCGAAGAGTACAGTCCTGTACTGCAGTACAGAGGGAGTGGTGTAGGGAGAATTGGCTTTGGAGCTAAGAAATGGTATAAAATGCCCAAAGCCATGGATGAACCCAGCTTCTGTTGGGACATGGCACTCTGCAGCCTCTGCTATGGGGAGGAAACAAAGAGGGAAATGAAGGAAAACACTGGGCAGGGCTGCAGAGAGATGGGGCAATTTGGAACAACACAGGGCTGCAAATCCTACTGAGCGTGCAGGAGGCAACCTCACATCATGCAATGCTGCTCTTCCACTGCTCAAAGCCAAAAAAAAGACAGAAGTCTTTTTTTAATGGCACAAAAAAGCAACCAAGCCCTGTACTGCAGTCAGAGGGGTTTACCTGCCACTGGCACCACACTGCTGCCTGGTGGCCCAAAGCAGGGCTCACCTGGTTGGAGTGAGCACTGAACTCATTGAGGAGACAGCCTCCAATGTGTTCATAATCTCATTGCTCAGAGGAACCCCCACACTAAGAGCATTGCTCCACAGCTGCACCAGAGGGAGCGAGCACAAAACCAGACCCAAATCCAATTCAGCACCACAAAGACCATTTGTGGCTTTCCTCTATCTTAAGAAAAAGACAGCTCACACCTACCACTGCTCTGGGAAACACAACCAGCAGAGCCTGAAGACCATTTGTTTGTGCTGGGCTCTGTGCTGTGTCCCCTCCCTTTGTGACAACCTCAGCCCCTCAGCACATCGCGTGGGTACAACACACAGCACCACGTCCCACCTTGAGGTTACCACCCTCCAAAGGGAGCAAGGAGACTTGTGGGAAGCAGGGAAGAACGGAAAGATTTTGCACTTCTTGCTTCCCACCAAGGTAGCTGCTCTTTTTTTTGTTGTCACTGTTAATTTGTTTAAAACACGGCTTGGTAAAACTAAGTACGAACGGATCAAACTGAAATCAATATTTGTGCTAATTACAGCTTTTGGAAAATTGGAAATAATGGCCCAAAGGGTATAAACACACCAACTGTGAATCACAGGGAAACGATGAGGGAAAAGGCAGTGTGGGCATTGAAAAGAACAGTCCAGATGAGCTCTGGAAATCTAACTGCTCGTGGAATGCAATTCCCCACAAGCGAGCAGTGCACTCGCAGGCCTGCTGCAGATGGAAGCGACAGGCTTTTGTTTTTGTGGTTTGTTTTTTTCCTCCCCGTGCCTGCTCGATGGGCTGTGCTCTGTGCGGGGCCAGCAGCAGTGGCGTGCTCCGTGCATGAATGAGGCGCTCTCAGTGGATATGGGTCATGCTAGTAGATGTACACAGTAAGATTATTTGACTCTAATTCATGCCACTTGATATAATGTGATAAAACATTTGACATGAGAGATAAGTTCCATTTTAATCTGGGAGGGGACGGGGGAAAGAAAGAGGGGGAATTAAGAAGGAGGAAGAGGTTTCCAAGGGAAAGAAAATGCGCAGAAAGAGAGATATTGAGTAAAGGAGGAGGTTGGCTGGAAGGAAAGCAGCTTTCCCTACACACTGAGGAAGCAAACGAGCGAGTAGAGAAAGCAAGTCAGATTGTTACAGTGCCAGAGCCGGGAGCTGGAGATGGCACTGCTGAGAGGAGGGAGGAGAGGGGAACAGAAGCTGCTTCGAACAGAAATCGCTGTATGGACAAATACCCTAGAAGAGACTGAGACACTAAGGCTACAGGCTGGCCATTAGCAGAAAACCTTTGCTCTAGAACAAGGACAGAAAGGCTGTAACACAACAGTAGCAGCAGAAACATACATCAGTTAACATGCATCCAAAATCAAAACAAATGGGCATCACAGGTCACTGTTCTCTCACAGGCATTTATCCCGTGCAATAAAGAAAACACTTGAACAACTGGGTCAGCCTGTTGCCACACTGCTGAGACTATGGAAAACGTGTCTGAACCTGATCTCTGGTGCCAGGCACCATATCATGGAGCTCCAAATGTCCACTCCCAACCAGCAGTGTGCTGGTTTCCTTTTTAAATGAAAATTTCGTACACACAATTTGCTGCCAGTTTTGGGGAGCTCGTCAGTGACAGACACTGTGAGTTGTGCACAGGAGATAGATGGTCCTCAGTAAATGAGCTCCAATTTTCAAGCTGAGAACAATGACCGAAATGTGCCGTTACAGAGAGATTCTCCACAAGCTTAAATATAGTCAGGGCTCTCTTAGAAGATGCTGTTCCCTTGAAATCCAGGCACAGACAGACCAAGACACAGTACACTAGAGTAGAGATTTAAAGCAGGCAGAGAGCAGATACGAGCCTTAGTCAGAAAGAAAGGAAGGATTTATTTATTTTTTAAAGCTATAACCAATAAATTTTCTCAAAATGTGACTTATCCTCCTGTCTTATTTTGTCACATTTTGGGTCTCTCCTGCTTGGTGTCCAAGGAGGAGAAGGCATTTACTTACATCAAATAACCTTTCTATATACATCTCCTCATTGACCTTATCACGCAGGACATCCTGAGAGTGGCGGACAAATGTCACATAGGCATCAGCAACATCCATCCCTGGCTTCTGCATGGGGAGAGAAGAGAGAGAGAGAAAACCATGAATACATCAGGAGCAGCTCCTCTGCATACCCTCAGCACTGCCTCTTTCCCTCCATCTTTCTCCTGCAATTCACCCCTTCCTTACCTGCTGTGATGGGGACGGGGACAGTGTGCCCATGCCCAGCACAGAGCCATGCAATGACACCAGACAGGGATGAGAGCATTTCCCTAAGGAAAATGGGAACTGATACCGTTGAAGGGGAAAATACTTTAAAAAAATAATAATCCTGAGTTCACATTGCTTGATATATTGAAATCCAACTTACCTCAAAGGAAAGCCATTAAAATACTGTAACACGACTCATTACAAGAGCTGCCACAAAATCTTAAATTTCCATGGCACATTGCAAGTTTGTTAATAACTAGTGTCATTAGTTTCCATTACTGTGATTTACCTCAGATCACAGAGTATCATTTCTCTGCAAGATACGATTGTCAGCCGCTGCAAATTGAAGTTAGTTAACACATCTGTGTAATTTCCAGGGTGAAAATAAGGACAGTTTGGAAAGCAGTAGGAAAGGAGTTTTTTAATACAAAGCAAACAATTATCAAGCGAAGGGCCAGCGCTCAGCCCTTGGGAAGCTAGTAACATTTCTTAACACCTACTGAAACAATGACAAGGTATTAATTTGAAAAACAATGAGGACAAACAAACGTGGCAGTAGTCAAGTGTTACACTTTCAAGCAATTTTCAGCAGGCTGATCGTGCAAGGTGGCACCGAAGGCATTGCTTTGTGTTGGGCAATAATAGCAGTGCCTGTCGAGCTAGATCTAACTGGTGGGTATCTGCTCAACCACGCCATTTCTCCTCTTTCCCCTACAAAGGGACCTGAAGCAGCACGGCCGTGCTGGCTGGCGGTGGGCTGGGAGTTGTGTGGGGCTGGCTGCTGATTTCGTCAGAACCAATGTAAACATTCAAGTGAGCAAGTGGGAGAGAACAGCCATCGGTGTGGGAGAGACCACATGGGCTTGACATCATCTCCTATGTTGGGTGCCCCGAAAGAACAGTTCTGTGCTCAGACTCATGGTGACTAATATTAAAATGCGCTTGACTGACAAGGAGTGTCAAATAAAGAACCTCCACACTTGCTAGGACATGAAAAATGAATTCTGTGCCCCTCTGTATGGGATCTGCTGAGTCACGGCCTGAACCTGCGATTGATCACCTGAGGTGAGCAATGAGTCAGCCCTGGGAGCAGAGGTGAAGGCAATTCACCTGTGCTGCTGGAAGGGGTGGAGCCTGGCTGCACCTCTCCTAGACCCATTTAAGAGCTGACTACCAGTGGGGAAGGATCTCTTCTGGAGACCCGCTCTGCTGGAGTTTCATAAGCGAGCCCAGGATATGGGTAAGTGTCCTATCTTTTCTGCTTTGGTGTAATAACTACGTATAACTATAACAGCTGTACGTTCATTGATTGTATACCCTCCCTCCAAAGCTCTCAGTAACTTGTTTCTACTGCTCAAAGAGAACAAGATGCAGATCTCTGTGCTGGGATATCTTAAAGCAAACAAGAGCTCTTGGTGTTCCAGAGCTTGTCCTCTCCATGCTGGACTACATGTGCAATCACTTCACTGGAAAAGTCTATCTATCTCAGGAGAAATAGTGCAAAAGATGCAGCCTGAGATGCCCAATAAATTTGTCACATTGTCATATGAGAACATGCAGCCCAACTGCATCCACGAGATGCCTGCCCACTACATATGCAGGCCACCAAACTCAATGAGGCACTCCTGATGTCCACTGACCAGACAGACTGAATGCAGGATTTGTGTGCTACATTAAGGACTCATCTTTTTCATTTGTAATCACCTCTCTGCCTATAACGTAACAGTGACCTCCTATTCCATCCAACGTTCACAAATGACATTTCAACTTCATTTAACTGTATGTTTCTGGCAAGTAAGTGCTCCAAGAACACTAAGGTCTCTCTGCTTTATGAATCAAGGTCTAATTCGAGCCGAACGACATATAATTTTTCTGTACCAATTACAGAAAAAAAGGAAAAAATTATTTTCATTAACAATTTCCCAAACACATGTTGCTAGTTCACCATTTTCCAAAAGTAATAATAAAGTCTTTTTTTTTTTTTTTTCTAAAAGAGAGAAATAAACCAACAATTAGAAGAACAAAAATAAAATAGATTAGCTAATGTGTTAGACGTGTGTTGGCTCAGTTCTAACACGTCTGGACCTTTTTGTTTGGAAATTGTTCTGTATTTGCACAAGTCCAAATGAAGAATTAACAGAATGCACCGCTCCTGTTTTTATTTTCAACTTTTTTTGTGTGTGTGTGTGATTTAAGCCAATTGTGTAATGGTGGTACCTCTTTGACACCATCTGCAAAGGAGTGCCTGAAAAGCCTCAGAGGTCTCTGTAAGAAGGTAAGTGGACATTCTTTCCAGTTCAAATGTTAGAAGTGTGAGGGCCAATGGTTCAACCTTGGCTGTTAATGTGTAACGTGGGTTGCTACACATGCCATAAAACAAAGCACAATGCAAATTACTATACAAGTGGTTTAAATTGTGCTTACGGGTACATCCACGTATTTGGAAGCAGCCTTCACCTGTAAAGGAAACCAGAACAAAATCACCATCAGTATGCTTTCGGGCTTTTCCTTTGAGCAGCTGCAGAAGCTCTGTGGGCAGAGACTCAGGACAATAGTGTTGAGTAGGGGAGAAAGGATAACAAACAGTATGTTTCCCACCTAAAATAATAGGTGGGAAGAGTGGTGTTTTTGTCACTCGTACCTTCACTGCTCTACAGGCTCTAATAGCAACAGATGAGTGTGGGCGTTGTGCTTCTCCCTTCTCTCCTTAAGCGAGCAGAAGATGGGGTTCACCAGGACACACTGTTATTGTCCTGGGGTGGCCTCATTCCACATTCAGCATCATGTATCACTCTGAGCAGTGACTGTCCCCATGGGAGCAGTGCCCAAGGGTGCAGGGGTGGCCCCAGTGAGCACTGCATCTCCTTGCACAGCCATAGGCTCCAACACGAGCACTGTGCCCATGTGCATCCCACCTTGCACCACCTGGGGTGCTTTGGCATCAGGACAGCACACTCGCATCATGCACCAGAACAGCACCCCAAAGCCTCTCAGCCTCCTAGCCACTGTCAGCAGCATGATGACCAATGACCTTTTTTCTGCCCTTTTTAAAGATGCTATTTTCTGGAGAGTACTGCAGAGAGGATCCTGCACTCTGAGGTGTTTTTGTGAGCCTTTCAGACCCTAAATGTGGCTGCCTGTTGCCCAGTACACGTGGCAGGGTGGCCCTGAAGGCCAGGTCCAACTTTTCCAACTGAGCAGCTCCCAGCTGGCCAGAGAGACCCTTTCGTGAATGCAGCATAAGGCACCGTGTCTAGAAAGTGTCTAGCTGGGATTTTCCACAACGCTTCTGCTTTTAATTAGGGTAAGCATTGCCGGCCATCTTTGTTTGGGTGTAAAAGCTCACCTGCTTTTAAATATTTCTAAAGCTACCATTAAAACAGCCTAAATATAACATGCACACAGTTGCATCTTGGGATGAATAAATTATGTGTCCCGAATGAGAGAATGAATGTATGTGTGAGACAGAATGTGAGAGTGGGTGGAAGTACTCATATGGTGTGTGTGGGGGGTGCATAATTAAGCACAATGAGGCGATACAAAAGACCAGACTGGTGGTAATTGCTGAGGTGAACGCTGCAAGCACTCGCAGTGCCCGGGCAGCAGGTGCAGGGAGGGCAGGAGGGGCTATGGGGCCATCCCCAGTGCTGGCTCCTGGGGGCAGAGAAGGCTGGAGGAGTACGGGGCAAGTCCCAGCCATGTGTTGCCAAGCAAGTGGCAAAACAGGGAGCTGGTAGAGTCACCATCCCTGGAGGTTTTCAAGAAATGGGTAGATGTGGCACTAGGGATATGGTTTAGTGGACATGGTGGTGATGGGTTGGTGGTTGGACTATCTGATCTCAGAGGTCTTTTCCAACCTTAATGATGCTACGATTCTCTAAACTTCTGCCAAGCGCTGGCTCCCTGCAAAGAGGCAATGCTCATCTCACTCACAGGTATCCCTGATCCCAGCAGCTGCCTGGGCACCTTGCCCCAGAGCTGCATTTATCCCTACTGCTCCCTCCTGGGTCAGCCAAGGGAAACCTGAATCTGAGTGCTGCTGGGCCCAGCCCAGTGCCAGCACCTCTCCTTCCCCCAAGCCAAAAGGCAGCGAGAATAGCTCAGGCAGCTTCCTGCCATCCCCCCCTCCACCCACAACAAAACTGAGCTTCTTCTCCTGCCCACTCCCCTTTAATCAGAATAATTACTTGTTTTTCTTTAAACTCAGATTTGGCTACATTCAGTGAGATTTCCAAACTGCCGGATGTTGTGTGATTTTTGCTAGGCTGCCGTTTTTCACAAATGATGTGACTTTGCCATGAAACGTCTCAGTTTACCATACAATTTTTGTGCAGAACAAAAATAAGATCTTTTACTTCTGTCTCCCTCGGGTAATATGCAGTCTTTAGTTTTAATTACCGTAGGTGTAATTCTCCGCCTACGGAGGCCATCCAGATTAAAGGGAATTTTAGCAGCTGTCATTCCTGTGACTCAGTGGAGCTTCACATGCAGACACCCATCCAGAGCCTGGGCTGCTGCTGAGATGCACTTGAATGTGGCAACAAACAGAAAAAAATTTAAAAAAAAAAAAAGTCTGGCCAAATTTAGAAGGGTATTTTCCTCTCAAAGTGCTCTGCAAGGGGAAGTGGCTAGTGAGAATTTATTAGGACAACAGATGCATTAATTTTATCTCAAATTTCGAGGCAAGAATTGGAAATGAGGAGAGCCTACTAGGTGATAAAACTGTCTGTCACAAGACCCCTGGTTACATGCCACTTGCCGAGAGCCTGGAAAACACGCGCTGAAAGAAGTCGGGAGAAGGGGGTGGGAGACTAATGCTTCCTAGATCTCAGTGGCTTGGACCATAACACTTTGTTGTATTTGTTCAGACAGGGAAAACGTGGGAGGTGGTGCAAGCATGCTGTAACAAGAGAGAATTTCTGTATTTAGCTCTGGAAAAACTAAACACGGAGAGTTGCAGGGAGTGGTGCTGCTCAGCACAGGCTTCTCAAGCACAGTGCTGAAGAGGTCAAGGCTGTCCCTCAGCCTCTCCTTGCCCAGCACACCCAGCAAACACTGGGACCAAGTGAGAGACATTCCCTGCCTAGCTAGAAGCCCCCTGCTCCTCTGCAGTGCCTCTTACTCCTTGCTGAGACCCGGGGGAGATGTTATGGCTCTCCACAACTCCCTGAAAGGAGGTCAAGGAGAGGTGGGGATCAGCCTCTTCTCCCATGTAACTGACAGGATGCGAGGTGATGGCCTTCAGTTGTGCCAGGGGATGTTCCAGATGGATATTAGGAAAAAAATTATTCTCAGAAAGAGTGGTGAGACATTGGAACAGTCTGCCCAGGGAGGTGGTGGACTCACAATATAGATCCCATAGACCTGGAGGTCTATGAGAATTTCAGTGCAACTTTCCAAGCAACCCCACATACATGCATTCATATGCACTCTCTTTTGCGAGCCCAGATGAGAGAAGCCAAGTGCTCTTGTAAATTCTGTAGCTACACACTTTCAAATGACCTTTGGAAATCACCTACTATGTGTTTGCCTTAAAAAGCTGTCCAAAATCCTTTCTGGAATGCAGTTCAGATTGCTAAATCCTTGAGGACACTGTGGCCAGTTTTGACTGGATTTTTGTCCAGTACGTTTCTAGTAAACACCTAATGTGATGAGCTGTGGATTGCTTCTGCAGTGCTGGGAAGAAACATGACATCAGAGGCACCTAATCCATAACATTATGGTTGGTTAGGGTATTTTCCCCTCTCTTTTCTAGAAAGAAAAATGGCACTCCCTAGATCTCCTTTATTTAGTTCCTTAAAATGCTGTTATGGCTAGAAGAATGAAAGGAACACACCTGTCATGTAAGGTGGCAATGAAGCAACTTCTTTAACTAGGGAACTTGGATTTACAGTGCAGCTTCATGTGCTTCCTCAACAGAATGGACTCCACCAACCTGAATGATAACTGATCATACAATATGATGACCAGTACTTCTCAGGTATCCAAGTACTGAGCACAATGTTTGTCTGCTCATGTGAGGATTTCTGTGTCCAAATATTGCAGAATGGCACAATTATAATGTAGCTGATTTAGTCCTGGGAGAGCAGGAGATTACAACTCAGGAAAAAAAAACAACAAAGAAAGGAAGATATTGTCTGTACTTACAGTAAATGACAGGAAAGAAGAAAACAAAGTTCCTTCATCGTATCTAGACAGTTTGGCCAAGACTCCTTCCAAAATGGTGACAAACTACGAACACAAAAAACACGGTGATTATTTTCAATAATTGAACAAGGGTGTACAAATCAGCTTTGGCTTCAGAGAAGGCAGTGGAGCTCTCAGCATTGCCAAAGGGATGGACAATGTGGCCTCACACATGAGGCCATGGGACGTGGGGATGGGATGTGGGTGCAGCGTGGCATGTGGCAACCAGCACAGCCTCTCCCAGGGAAGAAGCTGGTGGTCCTTCCTCCAGTACACAGTGTCAAGCATGCAGCTAGATGGCTGTTCTTGTGGAAGAATCCAACTGGCATATGTTTAAAGGTCTTCACTGTATAATAGGGATGACTTGTTCTCAGAAAGTTTGAAACTACAGGAAAAAACACCCTGCCATCTTCCTCCCTACCTCCCAGCACCCCGTGTGTTAGCACGGCATACCAGACCTACACAACACTCCTTGGGAAATGCTGGCAGCCGATCTAGAGGAGCTGAGTCTGATAAAAAACACAATTTCCAAACAATGAAACCTGACATTTGGGAATGCATTTCCCACTACTGTTGCCTGTAAATGACTTTCTTAGGAAAGCATATGGTGATTTTGGGTCCCTATGGTGATCATAGGGGCAGTGACCACCCTGAGTGACACCCAACGTCTACGCAGCAGTGCTACCCAACTGCATGGGCTGATGCTGGTACCCCACAGATAGAAATTCCATTCTTTAAAACCACTTCTGGGCTAGTATGCCAGTTCTGCTAACAGTGTAATGCATCTCATGCAGTTCCTAATCATCAAAGAGTCACCATGAAAGGGTGGGGAGATTTATGATCTTTCCTGTGAAAAACAAGAAGCCAATTCAACATCTTAATGTGTCATATTTTAATGGAAACACATATTAAAAAGCAATGTTAGCAGTGAATCACTTCACCTGAAGCTGAAGGTTACCTTTGCCACTAGGAGTGTTATCATTTCTTTGACAGTTTCCTCAATTAGTTCATCTATTTTTGAATGGTACTGGTGCTAAAGAAAAATAAAAGGAAAGGTGGAGGAAAGTATTAGCATTGATCACAGGCAAGAGCTTTATGGTCATCAGTCTCTTCCTGTGGCAAACTACAACACTGCAGCAGTATTAGCCTGAAGAACTATGCAGCTGATTATCATGTGCTCTACTACAGTGGCCTGTGATTATTTACACATAGAGACCTTGAATCCAGCAAATCCTCCACCAGTTTATGAAGTATGGGCAACCCTTCCCTTCTCTGCATGGCCACAGCTCCAGGAGCCTCAGCCACACAAGGGAGGGGAGGCTTTGCCATGACTGGGAGTTTTCAATGGGCTGAACCACTGAGGTACTTCAGCAAGGCACTCAAAGGAGTGTGGTGTGTCAGGTTCAGCAGGTACGAAGTTAAAACAAAGCACTTGTCCAAATGCTATGCTCAGTGACTCTAGAACAGATTTTAAAGAAACACAGCAAATGGAGACCAATTTTTTTTTCTCATGCAAAAGATGGCAGCAAGTGCAGAGCTCTTTGCATTAGCAGCCCTGCAGCTCACCTCAGCACTGGTGACCGCAGCCGCTGCTCGCAGCAGCTCTGTGTCTGTCTGCAGCCCAATTTCTGCACATGCCAAACCTTCCTCAGCTTGGGAGCTCTGCTGCAATCAGCTGCAATATGGCTAGAATAGGTACTAGAATACAGTCTTCTACTAATTTAGAAAAGACCTGTTTCCAATACAAGATTTAATTAGTGAAAACATACAGTATATTCTTATTTTCAATGGACTGAGAAAATGCTGATTATGACTGCTTTCCAACACAAAACATTTGATTTTTCAGTCAAACATTTCAAGCATTGGTGCTAGTCACTATATTCATTACCACTTGGCATTAATATTGTTTTAAAATGTTAACATCAAATCACATTGAAAGAGACAAATCTGCTTTAAATACTAATCAGACTTTGGGAACGAAGACTGTGAGGGCTTTACAAATGCTAGACGCTGGTCTCAATGTCTGTCAGCAGTCTGAACTGCTCTACTGTTTCTTTTTTTTTTCTTTCTGTGACAACAACATATTAACACGGGAATGTAGAATGAAGAAGTCAGACACACTTACCCACTCTTTAGCAAACTTTTCAGATGGTTGGGGACAGAAATAAAGAGAAAAGTGCAAAAGACAGGAAAAAGAAAATATGAAGATAAATAAAAACCAAATTAAAAAAAAAAAACACAACACAACAAAGGACCTCTTAAATGTGGTTATGATAACAGCATCATGCACAGCAACAGAAACAATTAGCAGGGAAAACAAAACGTGAGCAAAACCTTCCACTGAAATGTCAGAGATTCCTGCCTGTAATATTTGCAGCAAGTACAACAGGACATGAACTATCTGCTGACAGTTCCCTATGGGCTCTCCAACAGCAGGACAGGGGTCCCACCTAAACATAAACCAACAAGCAGTGTTTGCATTTGGAGATTCCATTTCAATTTCATGCCATACACGAGGCCTTTGTAGCAATCACAATTACCTATGATTGATGTCTTTAATATAGTTAGGCCTTATCAGCCTGCAGGTGGACCTGGCACAGCTGACACAGCTGGAGACCTGGCTGTAGGTTGAGAGGGACTGGTAAGAGCTGGATATGGGTGAGAGCTGCTGATGTCCTCAGCACACAAGGCGAGGACTTGCTAAAGAAGATGCTATAGGAGCTGAGTGTGTATTGGGGTTGTCTTCCTCACTATGTTTTCCTTCTGCATTTTGTGTGTGTGTGGAAGACTTTTGGCTGACTCCTCAGGGAGGAAACCGCAGGTGGTCAGATTGGGGAGGTGAGGAGGAGACAAAGAAAAGAACAAGGACAGCCAGAGGGCTGCCAGGGCTCTGAGGATGGAGGAGAAATGAAGGAGGTGTGGAAGAGGGCTGGTGGAGGCAGGGCTCAGCACCAAAGTGGTCAGATGAAATGTGATGGCACCAGCCTGCACTTCTCCATCCCCAGAAGAGGATGCTTAAAAAGCAAATAAGAGCACTGATGGAATAAAAATGCAGCTCTGATAGCCAGAGAGGGCCCTAGGCAAACACTGAGGCAGTGTCCAAAGGGCTCTGACCACACCTTCCCATTAGGACACAAAATCAGGGGCAGCCCCTGTGCTGGCAACTGAAAAGTGATGCCCAGAGCAGCATTCAGAGATAGGCTGGCTCCTAAACCAGCCTTCCTAACAACATTTCCCTCTGCACTACCTAGGAAAATGCCTGAGGTTAAAGATCACCCAACTGGTTTGCTTTGCTCAGTGCAGCCACTGCTGCTGGCAGAGTTCATTGAGGCTTCCTATTAGCTCCATTATTACAATCCGTAATCAGTGCACTACAATGATTCAACTTGACTTTATGTGATGAGTATCTTGCCTTGTCATGTAACAGATTGTGTGTACGTTGTATTTCTCTAAGGACCATCTGACCTTAGATATTAAATAGAAACATACTAGACCAACTGAGAAACATTTAATACATACATTTATCCCCTTAGATGTATTAAAAATTCAGAGGAAAAATAAATATTTAAGATGGTAAAGTATGTTTACCAAATGTTTTAACAGCTGCCTTTAGAGACAAGGAAATGGAAATGAAATGATGGGTGTTTGTTTCACAGGGTAATGCTCTCAAAATGCATTGAAGTATCTGATAAAGTGAGCAGAACTGAAGGTGGGCTTCAGAGAAAGGACACAGGGTGGGAGGGAGCCCCAGAATGAGGGCAGAAAGTGCACCAAGTCTGCCTGCCCATGTACAGTGCTGACAAGGAAAAATCAGAAGGCTATATCCAAAATCTCCCTAAAAACCCTAAAAAGTCTGTTCCATCATTACCACTGGGACTGGAAGAGCAGCGGTGCCCTTTGTCCAAAAGCAGAGCTCTGTTCCTTAACCTTGACCCCTCCCTTGTACAAGCATCTCGACTTGCAGCTTCAGGAAGGGGAGGCAGGGGTAGCCAAATGAAAAGCAAACTGATGGGGTGTAGAAACACACATTAAAAGGAAGAAAAGAAAAAGGGAGAGTGTATTGCAGCCCTACATGGTAACTTATGCACTGATCATTTACATCTGCTTTGCAGGTCTCTTAGTTCTGCTGTTAAAACCTCTTACCCTTGCAAGAGCAGCTTGCCACAGGCTCAGTGCTGCTATGCCCAACACATCCTGCAGCAGTTCAGGCAAATCTGCAACCACTGAGCATCACATGTGAGCAGGGGAAGATGCAGAGATGCTACAAATGGAGGCAGTTGTGCCATGCAAACACTTCACCTGAAGATTTTATGAATGCAAGGAGCTTGCATTCAAGCTACTGGAATTAGCTTGATCTCCAAAATGTCCCCATTAACAACTCAAGTCATTAAAAACCCAGAAATCCAGGATCACCAAGCTTGCTGACTACAGCCTGTATTCAAGGAAGTCACAATGAACTTTCAGTCTACTTATGTAAGTTATTATTTCTTTTTTCATTCAAGAGTCTCGGCAACAACTTGGCACTGCTGTTTTCCATGTGCTTGTGTCCAGAAAACAGTCATACACAGAAGTCTGTTGCTGATACCTGGCTCCAAAATGGGGTTAATCATTTAATACATATGGTCATCTCACATTAAGCAAGCTTCAGAGGTACCTTATGCACACCACAGTCTTTGCAAAAAATCATTCCTAAGTGACTGGGATTCTGAGTGTATATATTTATCAGATTTATCTGAGAGCAACGCCCTGCATATTCATCTGCACACTGTATATGGAAGGCTAAATTCACAACTGATAACACATCTCTGAACCCAGCACAACAGGAGATAGGAAATTTCATTACGTTGCCTTTAAAAGCTGTGAAAAGAAGAACCTGCATTTTTACCTCCTGGCCCATTTCCATGCTGCAAAGCTTTGTTGACTGAGCTTTGGCATCTACCATGACATTAAACATGGTGCATATTGATTGAGGGACTCGGAAATCTGTTGATCGGCTGGTTTTCTGCAGTTTTACTTCAAATGCAATCCTGGTTCTGTTAAGGAAAGCAGAAAAAGATGCTTCAGTTTCTTTTTAAAATACTGAAGCTAGTAACAATGTGAAACACAAGGCTTAGAAGAGTTCAACAAAACAGAAAGCTGAGTGCTATGGGAGCGTTACAGCACAATCGTTACAAATGTGCTTTTACTAAAAGTGATTTTCCAGTTTAAAAAGAAACACACTCCCCAGAATACACACTATTTATAAAGTGTGCAACGGTTTCAGAGACACTATGACTTTCTCATGCTTGATAAACAGTGTGATGATGCTACAAGCAGCAGTGTCAACGTACACCTATCATTTGGATGCATTAGCTGCTTTACAACCACAAATAGCAAGCCTGGTGCATTCAAGGAAGCTACTATTGCCTGATGGTATCTACTACAAAAAATGGGAACTTCTTCATTGCTTCACTGAAAGTACACCGTTGGATCATTGTGGTTTTGGGTCTGCATGACTTTCTTTGCTTGCCAAAACTTCCTAAGTGTCTCAAAGTTCATCCAACTGATCTCCTTGAGAACAGAATCATAGAATCATAGAATGCCCTGGTTTGAAAAGGACCTCAAAGATCACCCAGTTTCAACCCCTCTGCTATATGCAGGGTTGCCAACCACCAGACCAGGTTGCCTAGAGCCACATCCAGCCTGGCCTTGAAAGCCTCCAGGGATGGGGCATCCACAACCTCCTTGGGCAACCTGCTCCAGTGCATCACTGCCCTCTGGGTGAAAAACTTCCTCCTAATATCTAACCTAAACCTCCCCTGTCTCAGTTAACACGCACAGTTATGTACAGATGAACATACATGAGCCCACACAGAGCTTTTTGGAAGCAAAGACTACAGAATTTAATCTGTGCTGTGTCTGAAAATACCAAGCTGTGTGTGACCAGCATCAGGAAGCCCCGCAGTACGGTGGGCACTGCATCATGTTTCTCTTGAGCCCCTCAGCAGATTCCAGAGGTACTTCACGAATCTAATCTAGCACAGAACAATTATCACATCAGACAGAATCTGCCAACAAATTAACATAGAAGCTTCTGTTTAGAAATAACAAATAATATCATCTGCAGCTCAGGAATAACTCCAATCTTGAAAGATCCCCCAAGGTTTACGCAAATGAAAACTAATTTACAAATGTGAAACTCCTGTTCTTGGGATCGGATCTGAACTGGTATGAAGGTCCTGCTGCCTGGATGTATTAGCAGAAGAGCCCTGCCTTGCAAGGGCTGCTTTCCTAACAGCCCCGAAATACAACTGAGCGTGGAAGGCGGGGTGGCTCCTCCATGGCATTCAACAGTTCAGAGACAGACGCGAAGAAAAATGTTGTGTCAAACTGAAATTGCTAAAGAAACCTTAGCCAGGCCCTGTTTGCAGGTGATATAAATAGGGAAAGCAGCATATTGGTTTACATCAGCAGTGGCATTTGAACTGATTTAATTACCAGTGCCAGATTTAGCCTGGACTCGGGGACTAGAATCTTGATAATTACTGAAAGGACCAAAAGTGACTGGGATTTTCCATCTCTTCGCAGAGATGAGCATATTCCTACTTACTTAGGCTCAGAACCATTATATATAGTCATACCATTACAAGATGGGCCAGGTTTTCGCAGAGGGGCAACTTATTTGTAGAAGGGTTGGAGCAATTGGGAAAAAGCCAGCTCTCAGGCACAAAAATCCTTCCTCGGATGTACCTGGAAATGCGCTTATTTTTCCCAGTTATCTCAGCCAAGGTCACCTGATCTTATTTCTGCAGATCATCATGGCTACAACTGCACTGCAGATGCAGCAAAGTTGCCCATTGTATCATGAATCGTAGAATGGCTTGGGTTGGAAACGACCTCTGATACCATCTAGTTCTAATCCTGCATCATGGGCAGGGCTGCCAACAAGTGGGCACCAGATCTGGCTGCCCAGGACCACATCCAACCTGGCCTTGAACACCTCCTGGGATGGGGCAAAGTCCAGTTTCTAAAGGAGCAGAGCCCAGGAACTGCCCTGTGCTGGCTCCAGCAGAGCATCTGCTGCTTACAGGAACAAACAACGCTGCATTCATTCTTAAATAACACCCTGACAACCTAAGATTGGCTTTCATGCCAGCCAAAGGACTAAAACCAGCTGCTGCAATGCAAGGTGACTTGCTCAAATCAAAAGACACCACGGCCACCTCATTGTTTTCAGAAGGGTGAGAGCAGGCCTCGAGCTGCCTGTTGCCAGCAGGCGAGCCTCCTGCCTCCATCTCAGGGACCAACCATGCCTTCTCCTATGGTGACGTTGGATATCCAGACTGTGAGAACGTGTGAACAACAAACCCCATGCTCACGCTTGCAGAGTGGCCAGGCAACTGCGGTACAGAACAGCCACATCACACATTGCATCTATTATTAGCAGTACCAGCTGGATTTGGCACTCGTTTTGCCTTTGGTCTGTCTCTTTGTCTATTAATTTTTGCGCGATGGAATGCAAAGTTCATTTCTTCCTCCTGCCTAATCAGCTCTGACACCAAATGAACATAAATTACTGTGGGAAGTTTGACAATTTAACGGTAACATTTTGTTTTCAGAATGACAGCTGCCTGTGTGTTTGAAAGTTTTTAAAGAAACCTCTCTCTTTTGGAAGATCTGCAGGTGAGCATCCTGCAACGTGCTGATGATACACTGGCTTTATTCTTTCAACAGCAGATGTGAAGCCTGTGTGCCAAGCTACACTATCACCCTTTTAGGAACCACTTTGTCTTTTTTCTTTTCTTTCTTTTTTCTTGTTATTCCCCATGGATCTGTGTTTTCTAGCTGGGATCTTACTTGGGGCTATGCCTTTAGCACTCAGTCCTGCTGACACCAAACTGCACTGACAAAGACTCAACCTCTCACGAGGTGCCAACAAGTTAACAGCCCGTAAAGCTTGAGACTGTGGGTGGTTCACTGCCTTACTGCCTTCTTGTGAATACAGAATTAAGGTTGGAAAAGACCACTAAGATCATCCATTCCAACGATCAACTCATCACTGCCATATGAATACACACTCTCCAGAGTCTCAACAAGACGACGTGCTTGTGGAGCCCACAGCTCACAGCAGTGGGTACCTCTGTGCTCAGCTGGTGCTGGGCAGAGGTGAGCTGGGGCCATGAGTAAAGCACTGATAGTGAGACAAAACCAAGTGTTGCTCCCTGTGAGCTCCCGTTAGCTCGTGTGCACACATACCTCTTCACACAGGACTCGATCATGTCACTCGCCATAAGCTTCAAGCGCTGCTCCAAGTGTTTCCCAAACTCCTCCTCAGGCCAGTGCAAATCCCGGATGAAGGTCTGTAGTGCATCCAGTTTCCAGAACAGATCTTCTGAGGTGCCTGATCCATTGCTGGCAGGGCAAAAGGAAAACAAAAGTCATAGGTGGCATCAGGCTCTCCGTAACCTGATGTGGAGACCATTCCTGCAACAGGTGTGGAGCAGACAGTAGTTTCATACACAGGACAACGCTGGCAATCTCCACCATCAGGATTTTGAGTTTTACCATACAGTTGCCTAATCTACCTTGCTGTCATAACTCACAAAACTCTCCAGACCAGATGAGTGAGACAACACCGAGTCACACATATTAACAGGAAGAATGTGTGTATGGTAAAATTCAGCCTTAGTTAATAACCACATTAACGTATGCGATTATTAAGAATTAAGGCCAGAAACTGTGGTAGAAAATCCTCGGTCAATAATAACTACCATACCGGAATGTATGCAGTTATTAAGATGTGGGGTCTCATGCAATCCTCCCCCCTCCAAACCGCATCTTTAGGTGGCCTCCTCCCGCCCACTGAGGGCCCGGCTCCGGGGAAGGGGCAGTGCTAACAAGTGGTGCGCGAGGACACGCGTTAGCTCTTAACAGCTGGAACAAAACGGGGGTAAGTCCATTGAGCTGAGGGCACTGGGCATCTCATAGCCAGGACTTTTGGCTGGATTGACTGCTGCACCTCTCCACAGATCCGCCTCTTGCAAAGGCATCTACAGGACAACAGATTTTCCTTTTTTCTTTTTTTTTTTCTCTCTCTTTTTTTTTTTTTTAATTTCTTTTGCAACATCTTTGGCCTGTCACAAAACTCTAAATTTCTCTCCATAGCTTGTATTCTCGAACCCACACCCTTGCCCAGATGGAAGTCTTTGGTCCTGCAGCTACACCGGCTCTTTTCACAGTATAATTATATCTCCCAACCCTCCACTGACAGAACAAAAATATAGAACTCGATGGTGCTCTGTTTGTGCAGAGAAATTTATGCATCCATAGCCCTTCTCCCTCCCTCTCTCTATCTCCCTCACTTTTTTCAGAACAATTACCAAGGGAGCTTCAAGAGTTTTGACCCCCTCCTCGCATACCACTAATGCTAACACAGTAATTTATAAGATATTTAGCACACCATGCATCACCACTTGTGCCGACATCATCTATAGAAACAGATGAGGGAGGGTGTTTCTATTGTGACAGATGCCAGCTGCATTGAGTTAATGCCAGAGGAAATCGGAGCCAATGCATACGTGGCTACCACCAGTGAAAACCATGGTCCCAACATGCCGGGGCCCTGCGGTCCTGTGCTAGCAGGGAGAACGACAGAGAGGATGGGTCATCTCCATGGCAAGAGAAACAGATCTGACACTAAGCGACAGGTAACACATCCTTGATGGAGGGAATGGGTGAGTAAAAGGAAACCAGGAAAGTGAAAAGATAAAGAATCAGGCATTTCCTTTAATCAGAGGACACGTGTGCAGAAGGCTCCAGTGCTCATCTAGCCACCGATCTTTGGTTTCTCCTGGTTCAAACCTCTGCTCGGGTAAAAGTAAGCTTTAGCAGTCTAAACCCAGTTTTGGAAATGCACGGATTTATGTCTGAAATAATTAAGTATGTGCAAGTGCAGTAATTGGTATTTACCACAGCAACATTATCACACCCATTTGGTTTCAAAATTTTAGAATTATTATTTTTGGTCTTTTTCTCACTTTTGATTAGGACTACATGCGAATAAACAATATATTAGATTATATTCGATTTGCTTCCAAGTTGCACTGTTAATATTTTGCTCGTGAGCTCTGCAATTACTCTAGTCACACAGGCAGCTTGCAATATACCATTAATGCTCACATTTTCAAAGGGATTATCCAATTTTCTGTCATGACATGATTCTTATCTTTTCAAGGGCAATACCACACAGCATGCACAGAGAAAAAGATTAAAACTTTCAAGTATTCTTTACAGGCAACTGCCTAATCTAGCCTTTAATACAGCTCTCTTAGCATGAATATGAGTTGTATCGTTTTGAAACAAAAAATTTAAAAATGCAATAAAAAATTAAATACCAGTGTTTGCTTTACTTATGGTTCATTACCACTGCTCTACAGCAAAACCTGTGCATGGCAGAGGCATTTGGTGGACCCCAGGTGTAGATGTAACCTAGGGTGTTCCAGTAACAGCGATGGGGGAGAATCTGGGAAGCTTCTTTGGTTTTATCCTTTAAGAGAAAGGACACGGTAGGGTGAAAGCAATTCATCTGTGTAGAGCTGACTGAGACCATCTCATATTAGCATAACTACAGTTAGCCCAGGAGAAATGGAGTGATCCAAAGTCCTGTGTTAGGACATCTTGGGAGACCAGCTGCCTCCAAAGCAGCGGTCTGCCCACTTCTACTCCTCCCTGCACTGGTTGGTGGCTGGGACCTTTAGGGGGAAAACTGGAGTAAGAGATAAGACAGATAAGAGATAAGCAGAGCTGCCCTCCTGAGCACCTCGAGCTCACACAGAGAGCCAGAGTAGAGCACAAGGCTCCTAGCGAGCAACTGCATTAACACAGTGCCCATTTTCTCCATCCACAGTCAAAGGTTCATTTTGAAAATATCTTTCTTTAGTTGGCCAAAGGATTACCCAGGCTACAGTGATGGACGTGGAATTTCAATTGCTCTCTGGGCCCTCTCACAACCCGAATGAGAGTTTTTCCTCTATGTTAAACCGTTTCATCAAAATCAAGACAGTAATTATCATCTGGGGAATGTGGAACTTGCATTAAATAAAATTCAGTGTTAGATCTACATCTGGTCCACAGAAATTGGTTGACTGGCATTGAAGTTGGCTCATCTTCTCTTTTGGACAAAACTCTTTTCTGAGACACATCGTTTCCCATTATGCACTCCGTGTTTCATATGTTGGCCAGAACGTGTCCCATTGGTGACAGCTGTTTTGTAAAGCAAGATACTTGCTCAAACTCTCAGTGGGAGTACGAAAATTTTCAAGATTTATACAAAAAACCCTCAAAATACACTTGCCAGAAATTCACCAGTGTCTCATTCAGAAAACGTCTAATTAACTGTATCACTCTTTAAAGTTTTATATAATGCACAGAAACAAACAATACATATCCATGCCAAGATGACTTTAAATTTAAATGAGATCTAATTTGAACTGAATACACACTCAGAATCATAAATAGCAGCCATCCATGACGGTGCAGAAAAGCTAGGCATTTGTGGGATGCCTAGTGGGATGTTAACTGGTAGATTTGGTACTTTAGGGAGATTCACATTTGGTAGATTCACATTGGGCAGATTACTTGTTAAACTCCTGTGGAAGAAACAGACAGAAAGAAAAAATACCATAACAGTGACAATGCAGATGTAGCAGAAGCACGTGACACTTATAAACAAATCTGCAGAATTCACAGCACGACAACAGTCAGGAAACTGAAGCAAAACATTTCAGAAAGAAGCATGGGTATGGAAGCTTAAGTGTTCTGTTTTTGCAGTCTGCAATAAAAAACAAGTTACTTAAAAAAAAAAAAAAAAATGAAAGAAGAAGAGGAATCACAAAGTAGCAGATTAACAGAGTACTCAAACACCCACACAAAATAACTTAACCTTCAATTCCTGATACCATTTCAAAGTGCAGGGAGCAACGTTTACTTGGAAAAACCTATCTGGTAAGGAAGTGAGTCTCAGTTCAAGACACTCAGGTTGGATGGATACATGAAATAGCTGAACGAAGTGAGCTCCCAGAAAAGTCAGGGTGCTTTTCTTGGCATCAGGACTCAAAATAATAAACACTGTTTGAAATACTAACTCAACTGAAGTTCTTCAGAGTTTTTCTTGCCACCAAATTCAACGAAGCCAGGATTTCACTCCAAAAACACTTGTTTTTCTGTACTCTAAAAATAACAAAGCTATGCTAAAATCTGGATTAATCACTTCCTAAAGGAAGACTTGTGCCCTAAACTCAACCTTGCATTTCTGTGTCTCTCAGGTTGCCCAGGTCTACATCTGTGCTCTGTGAATGAACTGCATTTAATACACTTAGGGCTGGTATATGAATGTTTCTTGGCTGGAAATGGGCCAGGGAGTGATTAAGGCAATCAAAAGTTAATTTATGAACCAAGTGTACTTGAGCATCATGACTTTAATAAGCATTTTCAGATATGCAACTGTTATGCAAAAAGAGATCTTTTAAAAATGGGCTAATGTATTAATTTAATCTGAAACATTGTTTTTCCTGAAACAATGTGTGGTATAGCAACACCACATGCCTGAAGTTTGCAAAACACCATCTTTTCTGGATCATTATTTGAGCTCGGTAAAAGTGGAATCAGGACTTCAGGCTTTCAGCTTCGTGTTGTACTGCTGAAGCTTCTCTGTTGATGTGCATAAATCCAACTTCAGCATTCAGGCTTCCTTTGGTGGAAAAAACACAATCCAAATCTTTCTTCCAGTGGAAGAAAAAAAAAAAAAGTCTGTTCTTGTTTTCTTTTGTTTCTATGCTTCTTAGTAGATTGGACTTCACTTTATCTGCTTGCTCTCTTTGTTAGACGGTAAGCAGATAGGAGAATTTACTAATGCAACAAAGCTACCCATTGTTTCCATTCATACTGTATCTGCCTATTAAGATGATATGATTACTGAATGAGACACAGACTTCACAGTGATTGAGAGCGTGTTAAATCTTCAGAAATGGCACTGCATGTGGTTAGATACTGCTGTGGAATAAAGAAATAGCGAGAGGTGGACAACATATAAATGTATAAGGAAAAGCAACTTAAATAACTTAGCCAGATGGTAAATACATAAATCAGAGGACCTTTGGTTTTAATATTAAAATTCAAGAAGTGACAGTGTTATATTAATAAAAACACTGTATTAATAAAATGTGACTTCTAGAGTAAACAGTATACTATATTCACACGGAAACATATTTCTTTTATACAACACATTATTTTGCTGATGCAAGGATATGTTGCAAGAATAAGTTAGTACTCCTAAAAGGAAACAGAACAGCAAAATAATGCTGTATATTACGTTAACATACAGTAACTAATTTTAAAAATATTCTCCTGAATTGACATGCACAATTTTGCAGGTTCAACTCATCTAATTATCTGACTAACAGTTGCAGTGAGACCTGTAAAAAATGATTAATATTACCAACAAATGTTCCAGCCCGCAGTTGCTCAGACCATAAAAACCACAGGTCCAAGACGAGAACTGTTTCTAAAAGCTAGCCATGCCTATTTAATATAGATGGCTAAATATAACCTCCGCCATTAGGCAGGGAATGTGGGCATTTGGATCAACAAGATGAGGGCTGTCTCATTTAAGAAGCTTTGGGACTGGATCCTGATACATTTGAGAAAAGATGTGCACTCCAGAGCTGTACTGCTTGTTATCTTGGTTTCTTCTGCTTCACCCCATTTGTTGGCAATGGAGATGGCTTTCACCTGTGCTGCCTGCGAGGGAATTCTCATGCAGACAGACTGGCAGCACACCGTGCCAGCATCCCCACGCTCACACCGTGCTGTGGTGCTGATGGCAGGAAACACGTAGCAATGCACAGAGGCCACTCCTGCAGGTCTGCCCCAGGACTGGAAGGAGGGCAGGAAACCACTGTGCTTTTACCAAAGGGTCTCCTGGTTTCAGAGCAGAGCTAAATGAGAGCCCTGGCCCTGATGCAATCCTTAGTCCTACGTGATGATTTATGGATTGAAGAGGCAGATGCCTGTCTCTTCTCTTCCATCACCAGAAATGCTCACTACCTTCCTGCCTAGGATGAGCAAATGCTAGAGAGCAAATCTTTTCACAAAAGCCTTGATGTGAAGCAAAGAGCTTATAGTGAAGTAGGCAGTCAAATCTGTGCTCTTCCTCTCTCTGACTGACACCCAGAATAGTAAGGAAAATACTCATTTTCACTACAGCAGTGCTTTCTTTGAAGGGGAAACATTTTTCACTAGCACTATAGCTTCGTAGTACATCCTCTTCCAATGATTAATATAATCACATGGTTCAATTTCTTACATTTTATGTGAAGGATAAAACTTACAAAGTTTGCAAAGGGTTAGTGAGCAATCAGTAGATATCAAAGGCGGGATGAGAGTGCAGCAGGGACAGCCTCAGGTCAGTGAGTAACGTCCTCATCAAGCAGCTCAAACTGGCTGTCCCCACACCGGCTTTAGCATTTGCTCAGGAAGATCTTCCAACACAGACACACACACACTGAGACACACACACACGCACAGATACGTGTCTGCTGGCTGCAGATCAATCGGCATTCTCTGGGAAGCTAGCATGAAAAACCCATTGCACAACCCTACTTTTCCAAGACCTCTCAACTCCCCAGAGAACAGACCTGCTCTGTATCCTCCATATTTGGATGACTGTGCGAGGGACAAGTGTTCCACGCTTCTCTGCATGGATTCATACAAGCACACCAGCTGCTCTAGCTATAGGGCATGGACCCCCTGCAAATTCAGCAGCTCTGCAGAGGCAGCTTACAGAGCCCTCAGGAGCACGTTACATCGGTGCTTTTTCCCCCGTGTTTTCAGTACTTCACAGTATCTCCCTCACTGTTTGTGATTTCTATACCTAACTCTTTGTAGCATAAGGTGCAGAGTATTCAGCAATGAAAATAGAAGAAATACATGCTTGCAAACTGCCATCTGGTCAGGTTATGGTGGGCTACATATTTCAGCCTTGATTGCAAGCATGATGTAGAGATACCCTTTCAAAGTCTCTGTGCTGTGGAATAGTTTCCTGGCTCGGAGGAGATAATGAGACTTCCTTCTTGCATTTCACTGCAGAGAATTGATGTGGGACTGCAGGAGGCTCAGTGCAGCAGACATTCATAATGACCTGCCTTTTCTGGCCAACCTGAAGGCCTTTCTTCAAAGCAGAGGAAAGCCATGGAGCCACATTCTGACAGTGGGCCCAGTTCCAGAAAGGCTCTGCTGAACAGTCTGCAGCAGAAGGCCATAACTTGGATAGGAATTGGCTGGTCTGAAATACTGGAGCATCACTGACCTGAAAACTCAACTGTGCTTCAGTGGACACATAAGGTAAAAAGGAAGTAGATACAGGAAGGCAAATGAAACCAACTATATCTCTGACCTCAGTTTTTCCTGCAAGTTCACTGTAGATCCGCCAAAGAAGAGCAGTTGGTCTGCCCAGGAGGCAAACGATGAAGATCCTCAACAATTAGTTCTGAACAGTGCCTCAAAGCTGTCATAAGGTCTTAGGAACAGCACCCCCCTTTGCCTTCACACAGCATGTGTCACCCTCTGTTGCTTGCCGTTTCCTCCCCTTGCTGGGTCTGATTGCACAAAGGCAGCATTTGCAACTCACACCTCTGTGTGCGAGACACAAGAACAAATACCAACTAGTGAAAAAAAAACCAGAGTTCATCCTTTCACCAGAAGGACATGAGCTTCTTGTGAAAAGCACCCACTTTCCTGCTGGAACAAAGCATTTTAATACGCAAGGCTGTACGACACGTAGATAATCCATCCTGGGCTTTTGCTTGGAACTGTGATGCTCAAAGCATTCTGCAGCTGAAGCTCCCCAAAGGGCAAAGCCACTACAACATAACGAAGAAAAGACCTTTGAAAAAGTGTCAAAGATAACTTGAAAATGATAGATATTGGCATACCCAGGGACAAAGCATTTTGACAGGCAAGTATCACAGCCAAGTACTCATGTACATCTACAGTTATGCCACAAGTCATTGAATGCCAAAATAATATCATCTTCTGAAAAAAAGAAAAAGCAGAATGAATTGTTTGTGACGACCCAAACGAGGTGGACAGTTACACTGAAGTAACTGCCTCTGTTTCATAACAGACAGGAAATACAAACAGATTCATTGCTAAAGCAGAACTCTGAAACTGAAGCTAATGCTAACTTCGAAGTGCAATTCTGCTTGAAGGAGTGGCTGTAAAAATGGCATTCTCCTACTCGAAAGATCTATTTCTTCTATGTTTTCTGGGTCACATCTGCTTATTTGAAACAAGATTTTTTAGGATTTTTAATCTTGTTAGCCTGCAGACCAAAGACAGCAAATGGAAAGTGAGAGAGACTCCTGAACGCCAGCCACTTAACCCCACTCAAAACAGAGGAGATGATCAGGTGTCAAGAAAAGGCCTGTGATTTGGCAGGCAGAATCCTTATGGATGCTGAGGATGCTCATGAAAGAAAAGAAAAAACCTGGGTAATCAGATTCCAGGTTGCATATGGGAGGCTGGCTGCTGAACAAAATCTCTTTTCCTTGTAAACCGAACATATTTGGTGTGAAAAGCCCTGAAAGACCACACGTTCTTTTACACAGCAACCTCTGAGAGCACAGTGCCACTTAACTTTGCCTAGAGAATTACAAAGAAGCAGGGAAAATACATCTGCAGAAGTCAGCTGGTCTGAGTCCCCAGTCTGGGGCACTGTCAGCCTTGTGGTATTTGCATAGGGCCAATCTTTCCCTTTTAAGTCTGTTAACAGAAGGAAAAGTCCATTCTTTTCCTTCACAGGACCCTATATGAGTTTTTAGAGCAAGCACAGCAGGGTTCAGCAGTGCTTCAAAACCTGTGAAATAACAGCAGCGATCTCAAACAAATGCCACGTTTTTCTATTCACCAGCTCCGGAGTTCCATTTGGATTTCTCTCAGGCCACTCATTTCTTGCTGGCCAACCCCTACCCCTCCACATCCAATAACTGGTTCTGCTAGATGGCTCATCACATCACATCCCCTCTGGGCTGGTCCCTCCTGCACCCCTGGAGCTGCCTGGGGCTGGGACAAGCTGAGCTGTTGGGGATGCAGCCCACAACCACCAGCCATGGGAGTGACGTGCTGTCCCTCCATGGCGTGGGTAGAAAAAATGAGTATTGGGAAAAATCAATACGGCAATGACTCACTAAGGTTCTGGGGCTGTACTGAACATGGCAAAGCAAGGTTTTTTGTTCTGAAAAGGAGTTATTTGAGTTCAAGAGCAGCGCTGGAAAAGGCCTCTTAGGATGGGATCCAAAAAGCCATGCCAGCTAAGAAAGTTTTCACATTTCCATGCTTCCACATCCAAAAGCATACAGTTTGAACTGAGGTAGCAATGCATTTCAAAAAGCAAATATCATTTTCCTTCATTAACTTCAAAACCTTGAAGAGTTCAGGCCTTCTATTCTTAGCATTCAACTAGAAAACATCAAGCACTTTCTGCATGTCCAATCTAATGTTTGCTAATTCATCTCTGTACGAATCTCCATCCATTTGCACCCAAATTCCGATTGTATCAAAGGAGGTTTCCTTACTTTACTGGCTCCCATGACTCCCGCTCAAAGCCCCTGTGAATTGACTGTGCAATTGAGGACTCCATCAGATCGACATATCTAACAACAAGTGGAGCAAACAGGTCTTGGAGGTGTTTGTGGAACTTTCCATTGCACAAATTATCTAGAATAGATAAATAAAAGTATAGTAAGAAACTACTGTTACTAAAAGCTCTGTAACAAACCACAGTGTGGCACTTTATTACACAATGAGTTTGTCAGTGAACAAGAAAGAAACTGAGAACAGAACAGGAGCTGGCATCGTGCACCAACGCTCACAACAAGGACAGCAGGAATGGCTTCTTAATCAAAACAGATAAACAGACAACAAATCTTCTTTCCCATCAAGGTTGGACTTACAGGTTACAAATACATTGTTACTTCCTGTGAATAAAATGGGTGTAAGAAATAATGCATGGCAAATATTGTGGCTTCTGCAGGTAGGAGGTTCGTTTCTTATTCAGTTACTCACTACCATGACACTCTCAGAGGATGAATCCCTGCTTCGTGAGTGGTGGGGTTTGAAGGCGTGAGCCTTCTCCATGCCTTGGAGAAGCGCCTTACTCCACAGAGCACTAAGCTTCTGAATTCCTCTTACTCTCATTTAATTTAAATCTTTTCCTCCCTTCAGTGAGGTATTTTAAAGTAGGGACTGGTTTGCTCCAAGCTAAATAAATGCAGTACACACATGTAAAACAACACACACATTTAATGACGGTGTACATAATTCCCTGCTTGTCAGGCAGCCATTACAAAAGACTTGAGAAGATGAAGCAAAATAAAAGTTCAACTTCTCACCTTCATCTGAGGCATTTGACTTAAGGGGTGTCTGTGTATGCATCAGAGAATTGCTTTTTTCTAGTGGAAGTAGAACCAAACCAAGCCGATGCTAAGAGTCTGCACTGTGCATCTCTACCCAGCTCAGCTCTCTGTGCAGCACAGAGAAGTATTAGCAGTAACCTGAGCCGCCCACTGAAAAGAAACGACCAAAATACAATACATACAGTCACTACGGAGGAAATCGTTTAGAAGCTGAAAGAGTGGAAAGCTGTCCCACGTGTCGGGGGGTTGCACCTCTAACGCAGCATCCATATCCACCGCAAACAGCGACAGGAAGGTCTCCGCGTGCTCAACCATTAAGTCTGACCACCAAGCAAAGGCCTTGGTAGAAAAAGATAACAGAGCAGTATGTTAGTTCCAATAAAGCACAGTCACAGACGCTAGGCCACGTATCTCCAAAAAGTGTGCACCCCGTGGAAACTACCTTTATTGTAAAGAGAACAGTGCTTTCCAGTGCTTGCCTGCACATACAGTGCTAATCACGGGAATTAGGCACTGCTGTTTTCATACAAAGGTCTCTTGCAGAAGATCTATTCAGGGCTCCACCATAAAGGCAGGCAGGTGTAACATGGCAGAGAAGGTTCTGTCTGTTCAATTTACAATAAATCGCTGAATTCATCTTTAGTTATGCTAATTATCAGAAAACAACTAATTCGTATTCTAAATCATAGAAATTAGGGAGTTTCTTCACTGTGGGTGGGTTTTATGCTGTTATTCAGCAGTTTAAATTTTATTTGGCTTCACTACTTCTAATTATCTTTAAAAACTGCCTAAGACATTAAAATCTGCCCTAAGTCCCACTCACTCTTATTTGGAAGCGATTCAAGCATCACCTGTAGAAGTTACTACAGCACTGTTCATTTTACATGGCCAGCTATACACACCATCTAAATACCCTACCACCTTCTTTAATGCTACTTATCAGGAAACGAAGCTCTATTATCAACATGCCAAGATTTTAAAAAATAAATAAAGAAGTCTACAAGCCTGTATTTTCAAAGAGGCAGGGAAAAAAAAATATATCTAATCTTGAAAACCAAAAAAATCAGTGAAGTAACTCATTCTCATGCACATGGGTCCTTCAGACTCACTGGACGGGCCCTCTGACGTGACATTCACATCATACATGGCTCAGATGTGAATGTTCCAGACGCATGCATGCGTGTTTAGTAATCACTTCTGGCTGGGAACATGCAATATGAGAAGGGCTGTCGTTAGGACCATGTGCTATAATTTGTAAGCGGCAGAAAATTACTCAGTGACTTAAAGGATCTGAGAAATGGTTTTCCAGCACTTTGCAAGAGAAAGAAACCTCTAGCATAGGCAGAAGACTAGAGATAGAACAGAAAAGACTGGGCATACAGCACTCAGTTCAGAGGAACTGACATTCAGGGAGGGGGTTTTTGCCTCCTGGAAGGAGGCTTTTGGCAGATGTGAATAAGCACGACAGACTTCAGTTTTCTTAGGGTTCAGATTTGACTAACTGAAGCAGAATGCTTTTGGTTAATTCTGTCCTAGAGAGAGTCCAGCTGTGGGTTCTCTTGGCCACAGGGACAGACTCATACCCCCAAACCAGGTCAGTTCCATAGATCCCTATAATCGTTCCTATTTTGGACTGACTTCTCACCAGGCAGCGATGCTGTCAGGAGGTCTTTGGGACTATTTCCATTCCTTTGGTCCCTTAAAATACGAAGCAGACTGCTATCACTCTGCTGTTATTCCATGAGTTGATATAAACTGGTGATAAGACATGCAAAGGTTGGATGTGACATGGGGCATTATGCACCCAGAGCACATCTCAGATGTAAAATAGCCAAAAAAAACCAACAAATGAACCCCAAGCTAATCTTAGTACTGTGCCAGCCCTATGGTGGGGGCATGGAAAAGATGAACTGTGCTGTGAAGCAACTCCATCCCTGGGATGTTTGGGCAGCCCAATGTCTACTATGATGAAGAGTCTGAGTTGGCCCCAAAGGCCAGTGGCAACCAAGGTCCTGGGGGTGGAAGAGAGGGGAGGCGAGAGAGCATCTTCTGCAACAAGTCCAACATAATCGCTGCAGAGTCCTGCAATAAAACCTGCTTCCACAAAAAAGGGAAAAAAAAAAAAGCTATTTTAAAAGAATGAGGAAGAAAAGCACATCGTTTGTGGGGGGGGAAATAATGCCCAAATCAGTCACCATTTCCCTTTTGCTGAGTCAAATTTTATCTTCACATGTCTCTAACTCATGTCAGGTTCCCCAACCTCCTCCTCCCTATTCTCAGAGGACAGACCCTCCTGCAGTGGGAGCAAAACCACCACACTTTGAAGAGCTCCTTCAAGATGGTAACTTTCTGTATTTACCATCTACTTACCTGCTTTACTTGAATGTAAAGGCAAAAAAAAAGTGTTCTTTCTAGCCAAACACACCTATTATTGTATGTTTTACACATGGATACACATGTATATATGTATGACCTCAAAGGGTTAAAATACATATATACATATACACATATGTATACATAGAGAGAGAACACGAGTTCAGAAATACGTGAAGACCACGGCCTCTGGCATGTGCCATCAGTCATCCAGGGAGACAAAAATGGAGCTGGAAGACACTTGGTGAGAGAGATATTGCAATGGCAGAGACCTCCTGCTCTCACCTAGGACCAAGGCACCACTGTCTCTTTTGCATTTTTGTCTGTGCTTCTTTCTGATGGGTAGGACTAACCCCACTGATAAGACACGACGCTTTTGGTCTAATGGCTTTTGAACGTATTCCATGCTCTGAGTTTTGCTTTCTGGGTTCTCACTAGCATGTCTGCCTGGATGTCCATGTTTGGAAAAAAAGGGGTGTATTTTAATGGAAAAAAATCATGATTTTCAGAGAAGAAGGCATTCCTTCAGCAAATGATGCCATTTAATTCTGCTGAACATCCAAAGCAGACCAAGGAGTCTAACATTGCAGGTTGAACCTTCTCACCTCCAGGCAGAAGGACAAGATGGAAAAAAATCTCTCATCTGGAATAATTTGAAAAAACATGCAATACCTCAGCGCTTCTCACTGCAGAGGAACAGAATAATGGGGCTGTAACGCATAATAAAGATGGTGTGATAAATCAGCCAGGCTCTCATGTCTCTGTTCCTTTGGGTGCAATTCCAAGTGTGCAGAGAGCTGGCCCACTGCCTGAACACCACTGAAATGCCACAGAAACCCTCGGGACAGGGATTCCATAACGTACCGACAGAGTGCTGGGCTTCTGGACAGAGATAAACGTCACTCTTCCAGGTCACCATTCAGAACAAGGGGCCAGGATGCCTCCTATCCATGTTGGCATTAACCTTCTGTCTCTAATCAAAGCCTTGTGACACAGAAGACATTGAAGAACAGTTCTGAATCTTCCTCCATGTGAGGATCAGAGCAGCACAGCTGGCTGAACACCACGGGCCCTCTAGCTGCCTGCTGCAAAAGTCCACTATTTTCCCAACAACTGGTGCTTTAAAATCAGCTCTTTCCAGGCTGGTTGCACACACAGCCTAAGCTGGTGATGAGTGGAATAAAGCACTCGTCAACCTCAGGCAAGCTCCTGCAGCTCGTGTGTGAGTGCAGAGCTCTCAGGCAACCCCCTGCTTTTGCAAAAGTGAGGTTCACTTCACTCTTCACCACGTATATTCTCTCTCTACATATAAATACTGTATATCCAGTACAAGGCACATACAGACAAAACCAGAGGAAGAACACTACCATTCTAGTCACTTGTGTAGAACTCAATCCACCTCCACCACAGTGTACTATCGATCAGGTGAATGCAAAACAACAGAGGTAACAACAGGCTGAGGAGAGATTCCAGGCGGGTAGGGTTGTGTTGGGATGTAACTGCAGCGCTCGTAAAATATACCCATTGCTACATGCATGGACTGGACTGCTACGCCACACTGACCCTCTGTGTAAGGCTACCAGCTCCACAAGCAGCCGACTGGGAGTTGCTGTTACATTCCTCGGTCAAAGTTACGGAAGCGAGGGCAAACCAGGTAAAATCCCAGTAGGAAACATGGCACTGAGAGGGCATGCACGAAATATGACAGGAGTGACTCGTGTCATTCGGTTTAGTCACATACCTCTTTCCCCTGCCAGGATCATCCAAGATTGAATGAACAGTAGAAAAACAGGGAGGAAATTTAAATATGCAAGCAGGCATTAGTTGGGTGTCGTGGATTGTTGTGTATTATCAATAAGTTAAGTTATATTGCAAATTTAATATACACCGGAATGATTTTTAGGTGATTGTGAAATTATTTATCAAACGCTCTTAACGCAAAATATAGTGAGTATATACAAAAATGGGAAGGAAAAGAGAAAAGAGTGAATGAGTGTAACAATTCCTACAGTCATATACAATAACTGTTTGCTCTGATATTCAGAACGATCAACTTTCCACCACTTAGCCAAGAGCACCAGATTTACAGCCAACACAGGGCTCGATCCTGCAGATACTTACATGGGTGGGCAACGTCGCTGCCTGGGGCAGTCCCTGCAGGGTGGCACTGTCCTGGCAGCACTGCCAGCTGCCTCGGGGCTCAGTGCTTCCAGGGTCGAGCCTCAGGGTTCTCTACCATCTATTTGCCCCTGACATGGTTTCAGTGTTTTTAAAACATGAATCTTTCCGTTAAAGCACTCTGAAGAGTTAAGAGGATGGGCTTGCTCTAGTATGGAGCTGGTGGTGAACATACGTGGCTCTTGCTGGTGCTGCCGACTGACGTACTAGACAGAGAATGTAATCAATTCCCCCTTTGGCCCTCCCTGCCCTATGGAAAAGCAGTCTTCCTGACCTGTCCCGTGTGCCTTCATCACACTTCATCCCCATTGCTGCCTTCTAAAAAAGACAACCCAGCACCTGTTCAGGAGACATCCCATAAGCGTGCAAAGCCACCAGCAACCGACCGGACCCTGCTTGAGAGCTGCAGGACACAGGGCACCGCTGCTCACCTCTGCGTGGTGCTCTTCGTTTTGTTGGAGGACTTCAATTACCAATTCTGCCAGACGTATTGTGTCTTCTAACTTTTTAGCTGGTGTGACTAACCGGCCTACATTTTCTGTAGTACAAGAAGTCGAGTTAAAAGGCAGGCAGAGTGAAAAGCTCGATGCAAGTAATTTTAGAGGTATAAAAAATCTCATAATATTCTACAGCTTTAAAGATCTTTTCATGCATATGTTAAATGCTTGTATAATTAGTACTGTGCAAACCAGAAAGCCACATTCGTTATTATACTATGAAAATACAGTGCTCCAGCTCCAAATTTCACAATATAGTCAGAGTTGTTTTGCTTCATGGTGAGGCAGTGGCACTTTATTAGCTCAAATAAGAACATTACATTCCCTAAAGACAGCATCTGGCCACTAATATATGAACAATATGTATCCTACAGAGTAGATGATGCATTGCAGATCGTGTCTGTATGACTTAACATACTTTTATGATCAACTGAAACAAATCTCTCCATACTTTTAACAAATCGTCAAACTCAAGCAATTTAAATGTCACCTGCTACTGAAAGCAAAAGCTGCAGGTCTGGCTTGCTCCAGGATTTAACTCCACAAAGGTCGAGGAGTTATGCATGCTGGGGGGAGTGGAAAGTGGTAACGCCCACCAGGCATTCATACGTAAAATTTATATGGGAAAAGAGATGCAAATTTACAGCAAAAACCCTGCAAACAAACCAAGGAGTTTAAATCCTGGAGCTTGTCCTTTAGATCTATTGATTTCTTTTGCAGTGTTTTCTAAAAAGATTTTTAAAAACAATCAAATCATATTCTTCCAGGTAACAGGTATTAATGCATTACAAATCTGAGGTGCTAACAATCTGGAACATTTAAGTATTTCAACAGGAATAACAGGAAAAATAAAATAGTGATCTGTTCATTGAACGACAGCTTACACAGAGCTGGCTGAGTGCAGCCAACGGGGCTTCTGTGACCTGACATGGTGGTTCACCAGCACTCCCAGCTCCAAGGAGAAGAAGAGCAGGAGCACTGCTCTCTGGGGACTTGCCTGTGCTGCAGTGGGTCCCTGCAGAGGTGTTCCTCCTGCTAATGATGGGCTGCAAACCCAGCTCTGCTGTAGTAGATTGTGCAAGGAGCAGGATCATGCTTCAGGAGCTACATCAGCCAGCCCATACCTATCCACCTACGTACATTTTGGTCTCTGTGATATTAAACCTGGAGACTTCACAAGCAGGTGAAGTACCAAAAAAAAACCCAAAAGGACAGTAAAATCAGTGCACTGCCATTAGCAACATAGAATAGGCTAAATGAGAGCAACAAAGCCAAATGCTAGAGGTGCATGAATTACAGCCCCTCCACCAGCAAGGCATTCATCTTGGGATGTCCAACACTAAGCCAGCAGCTTGGGTTATGCCTAAGTGCGAGACAGTTGAGCATCTTGCTCCAGACTCCTGCATGCATCAGCTGCTTGCAAAGACCTAAGTGCTTAGGTTTTCTTTACTGACAGAGCAGCAACTTGTGGTTGCACACAGATGTCCCACTTTGCTTTGATGAGCCCCAAGGCACAAACCCCAGCTTGCTGAATGCCTGAAAGCTTTGAGGACTCAAATCTCCATCTTAGCATCTCACCTGCTCCTAATCTTCACTGGATTTATTTTTAAGGCAACAAATCTCCCATGAAGAGGAGAGGAATGTTTCTCAGAAGGGGCTGTGAGAGAGGCACATGGTGCTGATGTCAGAGGAGCCCAGCAGTCAGGCCAGCTGAGATCTGGCATTGCAGGTGCTCAGCTCAGCTGAGGGATGCATCAAGGCAAATTAATGCTACGCTTTTGCTGATGGATACCATGGATAGGGGCCTTAGGGTTTCCTCTCTGGTTTCCCTTTCATCTCTTGTAGCACTGGAAACAGTAACAAAAGAAACGCTCCCAGGTTGTCCTTAAAATACTCCATTGGGCAAACACTGAAATTGGAGAACTAGTGGTTAACTCATTGTCCCTCTTCCTATGCAATCCAACACCTCACTGGTTACAAGAAAACTTCCTTTTAAGCAAAGAGAACCCAAAGAAATGTCCCTCTGGTTGCTTCTTCATCTCTGAAGCCAAGGGGAAGCTTTTTCATCGATCAGAGCAGCATCAGACCCACTCTCATTTGCAACACTGATCTGCTCTCAAATACAACTAAAAGACAAAAGTGTTAATAAGAACAACTGCTCAGAGATGCTGTCTTTAAAGAAAATATTGATGCTTATACAACTTTGGCAGCCAGCAGATGTCAATCTTAATTTTTTTTCTTCTTATTTTAAATATTTCCCTGGTTAAGTTACTATACATCAGAATATTCCGCTAAGATAGCTGGAGCACTGACAGTTACATGAAACATATACGATATACTTATCAAACATTTCATCCAACATCATGTAAAGCTCATACATATTTATAGTTTTCATGCAAAATGTTATGCAACAACAATGTTATTTTGTGCTGACGTTGATATTTGAAAATGTTGCATATGTCAGACATTGCTAGACAAAAAAAATGTGGACATTTTGAAATAAATGCTACCTCTAAATCTCTACAAACCTACCACATCGCGCTAGGTGGTTTAGAAAGCTGCACATGACAACTAGCTTGCTAAGGCTAAACAAGCAACTGCCAGGCTAGAAAACCACTGAATAAATGGAAGGAAGACTATTACAGTACTTGGCGTCTGTTTGGCCATGCCTTTGAGCATATGATTTATCATGTTAGTCTGCGTTGGAGGAGATGCCGGTGGCCCAGCCGGTGGCTTAGGCTTGGATGGACGGGCTGCTGGTGCGTGACGGAGGGACGCCAAAAGTAAAGAGACAATGACGTCATAACAGTGACAAAAGGATGGAAACTTTGAAAGGAACATAAGCAGAAATGATGAAATACACATGGAAAAAGCTGCTGGGTTTTGCTTCTTGGTGCTTGAGGAGTTACACGGGAATGACACCGTTTGACAACAAAAATTCTAGGAGTCAGCAGATTCTAACATCCTACGGCACCGCGCAATCAGAAAGCCAAGCACCCAACACAAGTGTGGGACTGCACTGCATGTGGCCACGTGGGAAACCTCCACTCAGGAAACAGAGCTAAAACTCTGCAATTCACAGAAGGTGACCGAAAACGACCACTTTAAGCCAGTGCCCCCGTGCTTAGGTACATTTAGCAATAGAATAACGAGCCGCAGGAATTAATTGCTTTGTAAATATCAATTACACATTTTAGAATTAAACGTCACTGTTGGTTAAAGGGAGCTATAAAATATTCTTGTGCAATTTAAACATGTAAAAAAATCTGTCACTTAAAAATGTGTGGTTCCTGATCGTTTCCAGCTCATTTAATTATTTTCAACTTGGAATTCTAGTGGCTTTTATATTCTGGGTTGAATCATATATAAAAACTTGCCAGCTCTATCAAATATGTTACTTGCTATTCCAAATGTTAGAATACTGCAATCAGGACTTGACCCATCTGTCATATAGTTTACAATATCAGCATAGGAAAAATTCAAAGAAAATAGCCTTTCCTTTTACATGCACTCAGAGAATAAATTATGTACTGTGAATATATTAACACAATAGTTTCTATTACATTTAATAACAGTTTTTAGCAGCACAGTGACTATTTTTAATAATTCCATTTGCAAAGAATCTGGCATATTTATCTGGACATTCTATTGCCAAAAGTCCTTGCCATTTTGATTGCATTTTCCAGCGGGAAAAAAAAAAAAAAGGGTTGGCTTGTGCAAAGTAGATTTCTGATTGCTTTTAAATCTCATAGAATTACACTTATCAGAGCATAATAAAAAATATTTGAGTAAACCATTACTTAAAGAGTACAAGTTAGGTTTGTTCCTTCTCTCCATACACAAAGGTACACACGTACATGAACACACATACAGTGCACACATGCACACACATGCACACACACTAAGTCTTTTTAGATATGTAACGATTTAATTCAGACTTATAGATTCAAGCTTCTGGTTTTTGGGTGTTTTTGGTTTTTTGTTTTTGCTTTTTTTTTTTGTTGTTGTTGTTTTTGTTATTGTTTTCTGATAGCAAATAAGCAAATCTATTTGCTCATTGCTGGAGTCACCCTGATCTATGCTCAGAGTTTACCCAAGGTGGTTTTGTCCTTAGAAATAATACCTTTCAGCTTCAGCCGACAAAAATAACTGTTCTTTGGGCATTGGGCTAATGACTTTCAGCCTAATTTAAAACATAAGCAAGAAATCAATTTGATTACTCACTGATGGCTGCAAACCAGGTAATGCTTAGGAAGGAGATTTTACTGCTTGCCTCCAGGAACTCCATGCCCCATCGCACCTCTGTGCACCACAACCCAAAACTGCCCACTTCTGTGCCACCAACCACCAAAATGCTCATGCTGAAAATGAGAGGTGCTACCATGGGCCCCAGTGGTGAACACATTTCAGCCCTCAGTGACATCCAGCCCCCGCAGTATCAAATTGGCCTGACTTGTGCAAGTGTTTTCTGCCCCAGGGAAAAGTCAGGAGCAGAGAAGGATGCGGAGGAAGCAGCAAGAGCTGCTGGTGAGATCTGAATGCATCGGTCACTAAGATTAAAGGCAGGAGAAGCTTATTCCTCCCTAACAGCCTGGCAAAGGGCTTCTCTAAAGCACTCTCCTGGACAAATTTGCACATGAGACTGCATTTTACACCTCTGCCTGATACTTGCAAATAAAACACTTGCAGAAACCTGAATTGCTTGGCAAGTAAGAGTTTTTGGGCAATGAGCATAACAGGTGTACTATAAAATCAGTGCTACTTTGGGAATGTGTGTTCCATAAAATTCATTGTATGCAGCCCAGAATATATTCCAGCTACATATTTCTCACTCAGCATTGTGGTCTGTGTGAGATGGAAGGGCTAACACAACCATAACGCTGAGAATTAAAACTCAATAAGCAAGGACTAGCGTTGACTTTCCATGTTTCTCACAAGCACAGCTACCAACTCTGTGATTTCCTTGTAATAATTAAAAATACGAGCCCTGCCAAAGGCTTTGCTGTGTAAGTATTGTGTGCATCCATTTGTGAGCCAATCA